GGGATCTTGGGCATGCATGCACATGCATCTGGCATGAGTTTAAGCCACCAGGTCTGAGACTCAAACCACGGTCAACTACATGAGAGTCCAGAGACATAGCCATTATGCCACCTGCTGGGCCCAACTCCCTTCTTTTTTTTTTTTTAAGAGAGAGATTTTTTGCTATAGGGCACGTTCACTCGCCAGAGTTAGAGAGACAGAGAGATAGAAAGCGAGAAATCACCCCCCAGAGGGGATGGCCACGCCGCAATCCCTTCTCCTCCCTTCTCCTCTCGGGATCTTGGGCATGCACACACATGCACCCAGTGTGAGGTTTAAGCCACTGGGTCTGGGACTCGAACCATGGTCGACTATGTGGGGGTTCAGTGATATAACCATTATGTCATCTGCTGGTCCCAATATCCCTCATTTTTAATAAAAGCAGAAATATTGATTGTCAGAAAAGTCATGACACATTTTTGCATGGAAAAACACAACATGACTTTTCTGATGACCCAATGTTATCAATTCTTATTCTTGCTAAGATATAAGAAGTAAAATAGGGACTAGCAGGTGGTAAGGTTGTGGTGCTAGACTCCCACATGGCTGACCACATTTCAAGTCCAGGACCTGGCAGCTTGCTTTCTCACTTTCCCTCTCTCTGTCTCTGTCTCTGCCTTGTGACTGCATGTGCCCTGTAACATGTTATTAAAAAATAATAATGATAATGATAGATAAAATTATAAATTAAAAAATAAGATAAGAAGTAAAATAAAAACCACTTGTAATTTGTCAAAATCCTAGCAGACAAAAGGTATACAAATTTTGCTATCATCTGATAGCTTAATATTTACTACAACATGATGTGTCCAGAGAGAATGTGGGTCCATGGAATTTTAAGTAATTTGGAGAAAGGAGGTAGGACTCAAGATAAAATGTGGTTGATTTTGGAAAGGTATATTCTACTCAAGGTTCTTGACAGAAGCAAAGTTATATTAAGTGATGATCATGGCTTCTGGTTCTCAATATGCATTTGAAAAAGATACTTACGATGTATGACTTGAGCTCTGCTCTCTAGAGACTTAGTAAATATTTATATGTGATTGGTTTAATAAAGAGGTATTTCATAGAAAAATGGCATAGTTATATCTAAAACACCAATGAGAAAATACAATGAGAAATCAAGGAGGTCATCAAACAGCCAAAATTGGAAATATTCATTAAAATGAGGTAAATGGCTCCACTAGGTAGCAACACTTCCTTTGCATGGGTGTATGCATTGGTGAGTGCGTGTGTGTACACGTGAGAGACAGAAAGAGAGAGAGACACTTACACTACAGGGTTTGAATATAATAGAGGGTGATTTCAGAATTGCTAGGCAACGGGACCAGCAGTTGGCATAATGGCTATGTCGCTGGACTCCCACATAGTCAACCGCGGTTTGAGTTTCAGACCTGGTGGCTTAAACTCACGCCGGGCACATGTGTGTGTGTGCCCAAGATCCTGAGAGGAGAATGGAGGAGCAGGGGTTGTGGCATGGCTATCCCCCCTTGGTGGGTGATTTCCCACTTTCTGTCTCTCTGTCTCTCTCTGTCTTTCTGGTGAGTGCACATGTCCTATAACAAAAACCTCTCAAAGGAAAAAAAAAAAAAGAATTGCTAGGCAACATATTTGAACTACTTCCTAGAGTTCCTAGAAACTCAGATCCATTCTCACCACACAGATTTTTGTCTTCACTAGGGCTTCCATAGCTCCAAACTTTTCTGTTCTCAGTGTGCCGTCTGTGGCCAGCGTGGCCATACGCTGGGGCCAGAAACGAAGCCACGTGGAGGCTGGGTGGGGCCATTTGCAACCTGGTACCACTCTCTGTGTAATAAAGACAGTGCTAAACCTAACAATGGTTTTCTGGTCTAACAGCACCAGTGGAGACTCAGCTGATGCTTGCTAAGATCTAATTTTCAGAAGGACCAAATCATGTTTTCAAGTCTTTCAATATTTTAATGTTGACTCAAATTCCTAAAAAAGTGTATGGGATAAGGGAACAAAGCAATGCTGCTGACCCAGGGTTCTAGACCTGGAGTGTACAGCCTATTCCCCGTCGAGCTCTACCCTCCTACCATACTGCAATATTGCATGTTTTTTTAATTCATTATTTTTTTCTAGACCTGGAGTGTACAGCCTATTCCCCGTCAAGCTCTACCCTCCTACCAGACTGCAATATTGCATGTTTTTTTTAATTCATTATTTTTTTAAAAATTAACTTTTACTTTTCATTTTATTTATTTGATCAGAGAGGGACAGAGTGAGAGAGAGAGGAGGGGGGAAAATGAAAAAGCAAGCCGCCAGGTCTTGTGGAGTCCAGTGCCCTTAACCACCACACCACCTGCCAGCCCCACTGCATGTTTGGACTCTAAACCATTTGTGGCTGGACTTACTAATATTACTGCTGAGAATTCGACTCTGAGACACATAAGAACTAGTTAAGTTTTAAAGCTGGAGAATACCTTAAAGATTATCTAGCTAACATTCTCATCATTATAGATTGGGGAACTGAGACCTGAACTGAGACTTGACAGAAAATTGACTTTGTCAAGTTAGTGACTAAGAGCCCAGACTCATTCCAGGGCTGTGACCAGATCACACTATCTTCTACTTCATTCATCTGCAACATTTTCCTGCATCAAACAGTACTTAAAAAGAAAACAACAACAACAACAACACTCTTAAGGGACCAGCAGATGGCATAAAGCTTATGTCACTGGACTCCCACGTAGCTGACTCCAATTAGAGTTCCAGACCCTGTGGGACTCATGCTGGGCTTGTGTGCATGCATGCCCAAAATCCTTGGAGGAGAAGGGATTACAGCATGGTTATCCACCCTGGGGGGGCTGGTGATTTCTCATTTTCTGACTCTCTTGTCTCTCTAGCAAGTCCACATGTCCTATAGCAAAAAATCTCTCTTAAGAAAAAAATAAAAAATAAAAAGACTAGGGGCCAGTAGGTGGCATGGTGGTTAAGGGCACTGGATTCTCACATGGCTGTCCGCAATTTGAGTCCCAGGCCTGGCACCTTGCTTTCTCACTTTCCCTTTCTCTCGCTCTCTCTGGTCAAATTAAATATTATAATAACAAATAGAATTAAATAAATAAATCTTTTTTACAAAAAGACTAAACAACACTTAAAATGTAAGAAAATAAAATACAAAGATAGGCATCACAGAAATTGTCATTTTCAACATCGTTCTTTATATGACTTTTTTTAAAAATTAATTTCATAAGAGAGTGCAATAGGGAACCTCCACAAGGTCTTACTACACCACATTCCCCACCTCCCCCGGAGCCAGCCTCCATCCAGGCAGGATCATGAGCGCTGGCGAGCGCTGGCGAGCTCAGGTTGACTGGGATCTGAACCCCGGCCCTCTCACACGGCTCCAGCACTGCACAGCAACACTCTAACACCTGTCCCACCGCAGCTGGACCTACTTGTATCTCCACATGAAGAGAAATGGCTTTCTCCTAAATTCAAAAGTTTTTGTTCAGAAATAGTCACTGGGATCCCCATTTCACACATTAAGTAAATGAAATGACAAAGTAAGGGGTTAGAACTTTAGCATTTGGCATCTTAATTAAGTATCAGCCATCAGATCTTACACTTTCAAACTGAGAGCAACTCACGTTTTATTGTTGTAGGGTTTATTCTGACAGATCTCGGGGGACAAGTAGTAAGGTGTTCCAACACAAGTTCGAGCAAGTTCCATGGTACTAGTAAATTACATTAAATAATAAAATAACATGGTTTATTATCGGTGTACAAAAAGGCCTAAGACACAGACATGCAAGAAAAAAGTATAAAAATGAATAACACAAAATTCCATGCATCCACCTATTAGAAAAAAAGCAAAAAAATTGTATACTTATAATAGAATAAGAAAACAGTTCATTTGAAAACTTATACTTCAACCCCCTAAAATCTGTACATTAAAACATAATTTTTTAATTTATTTTTTAAAAATATTTATCTAATTTTATTTATTTATTCAGTTATTTTAGCTTGACCAGAGAGAGACAGAGACAAAGAGGGAAAGTGAGAAAGCAAGCCACCAGGTCCAGGACTCAAATGGTGGTCAAATGCTGGGAGACCCCAGCACCTTAACCACCA